CGGGGGACCTGCTTTCAGGCATCCCCGCGACAACTCTCTGGGGGTAGTCAGCTCCCCGAGAGCGGTTTCAGATCCCCCTGCGCTTCCTGCAATGCACCAGACGGGGGAAGCAAATGCTGTAGGCACCTGCATTGCGCCCCCGCTGGGATGCACGGTGCGCGAACCGAGGGGGCTGTCTGCGCAAAACCCGAGGGTCGGAGGCACAGGGAGTTAGGGGCGGGTTTTCTCAGGGCTCACCTTGTGCAGTTTCCACATGGCCCCCAGAGCCTTGACTTCGTGGCTGGAGTGCTTGCCTTCCTCCAAGCACTGGTAGCACACGGGCATCTTGCACTGCACGCAGTACATGCTGTGGTTCTCCAGCTCGTGGTCTGTGCAGGTGGAGACCTTGCGCGGGCTCAGCCGCCGGCTCACGCGGCCCTGGGCCGGGGGCACCAGGCGGTGCTTGGCTAGGGGGCCCCGGGGCGGGTGGCAGCGAAGGCGGCACGGGTCACAGTAGAAGACATCGCACTGTTCACACATGACCGTAGCCTCCTTGGGCGCCTTCTCGCAGAGCTGGCACTTGAGGGCCGCGGCTTTGCTCTGCTGGTAGCGGTCAATTACCCCTTCCAGGACGCGGTTCTTAGGGAAGCCACGGAGACCCCGGTCATCCAGGATGAGGCTGCGGTGGCACTGGGGGCAGGTGATACAGGAGTTGCGGGGCACCGGGGCCAAGGCCGGTGACAGGTGGGTGGCCGGCGGCGGCATAGCCGGGGGAAACACGCGGACGCCGTTGGGGGACTTCTGGCACGGGGTAGTGGGGGCGCTGGCAAACCCCCCGTAGGAGCCATAGCCGCTGTCCGCTTCGCTGTACAGGCTCATCTTGTCCAGGTCCAGGTAGTCATAGTCGGAGACCCCGGAGCCCGAGGCCCGACGGCTCTGGGGGGACTCAGACTCCGGGGTTTGCACCAGGATGTTGCGGGCGCACGCCTGACATAAATTGTGAGAGCAGGGCAGGATGATGGGCTCCCGATAGAAGGACCCGCACACGGGGCATTTCAACTCTTCTTCCATCTCTTCCATGGGGACCCGGATGGGAGCGAGGCAGCCGCGGCTGCGACGGGCGGCAGAGCGGTCTGGGNGCACCCGGCGCCGCGCGCCAGCCCGGCACCGCCCCCTTCTGCCCTCCTAGTCCCGCCCCTGCCTATAAACAGCGGCCTATTGGACGGCAGGCGAGGAAGCGAAGCTCTGATTGGTCAAAAGCCCCGTTCCCCTCCTCCCCTCCGCAGGCCACCGTGGGTTTTGCTGGAAGGCTCTGAGGACTGGGGACGTCTCCGCTCCCCGCTGCAGGATCTCGGGAGGGGGCTGGCGCGCGTTGGCGAGGGGACTCGGAAGCAGGAATTAGGCGGTATGACTCATCTCTCGCCCCGCTTTCTTCCGACCTCCGGCGCAGTCACCCAGGAGCTGGGGGCGTGAGAACCCCCTCCCCGCAGCGAGTGGGCTGGCGGCGGGGGCCGGTGCTTCTCGCCAACAGCCTGCGCCTGGCTCCCAGCTTCGGTCTCCGCGCCGACCCCGGCAGACCCCCCTTCTTCCGCCGCTGGCAGCCGTGGCAGGCCTCGCTCAGGGCTGGGTTTCTGTATGGCAGCTGGGCTTTTGTCCCCCTCATGAACCCGCCGAAGCCTGCCCCAGGCGCTCCGCCATGCCGGGGCCTGACGGCGCCGGGCGGGAGCCGGGGCGAGAGTCTCCTCTAGTCTTTCACCCTCGGTCCCCGGTGTCTAAAATATCGACTTCCTAGAGATTTAAACTAGGTGACCGACATAAAGGCTCATCATGTTCAAATCTGTGCCCCTTCAGTTCCCGCTTTAAATTCAGGCTGGGCACAGAGGCTCCTGAAGGTGTGGGGTGGACGTGCCTCTGTCCCCCTCCCCTCTCCCTGCCCCCCAGGCTGTGCTCCCACCCGCCCTCGGCACCTGGCTGAGCTCGCACGAGGCCCCTGACCTTCGGTTCAGTCGAGGCAGGAATGGGTTGCCCATTTCTGAGCGCCCATAGTTCGGTAGCAAGCTCCAGGTACATCACTGTGTCGCTGTGGCGTCTCAATATTAAGACTCCAAACAGCATTACTTAGTGTCACGTGGCCTGAGCATTTTCCACGGAATGGTGGGTTCTTTTTGTGTCCTTAAATGATGGTGATGGGGGAAGGGGGGAGGGGGTTCTAGTGTTAGTCTTCGTATATTAAGCTCCCTTCTTCCTCTCCTCACACATTGCTGGAGATATCTGGTCCCTTCCCTTGCTTGCAGAACTGTTGAGTTGATAATGGGGGGGGAAAGAAATCTTTCAGTCAAGTGTCAAGTGACATAATGACATTTTGAGGTAGCAACTTATTTGAATAGTACATGGGCTGCCTTTTGCTGAATGATTCATGGAGTAAATGACAAAAAAACTCAAGTTCTAAGAAATCTTCCCATTTTTTATCTTCCAAAAAAGAGATAATTTGATTATATGCAGCTACATTTATAATTTAAAACCACTTTATTGCCCAGGGAAAAAAAGGACTTTTTATTACCCTACCCTTGGAGAAATAGTCCAATAAACTAGGTTATCTTTCCAAGGAACGCAGCACTTGATGGTTGTTTGAGGGGGCGTGTTCTCATTGTTACTTAAGGTTACACTAATCACAAATGCTATATGATTTATTTTTAACCTGGCTCTTAACTAGTTGGATCCAGAGCATATGTACTCTGTTTAGATAGAATTTCATGTGTGTTTGGAACATCTGTATCTGCAGGATACATCTAATTTAGGGGTCCCAAGAGAATTGCTAATAACAAGTAGGTAATTATTAAGAAACTATTAGAAGTGTTAGTACCACTCATATTTTACAATCCTTTACATGACTTTTGTATGCATTTGGCCAAAAGTCATAGTAGCCTTGGGCCAGGGCTTTGGACATTTCAAGGTGAGCAGCTGTTACTCTTTTTATGAGTTTGAACTTCACTTATTACAGTGTACCATCTGCTATAGATCGAATGTTTATGTCTCCCCACAATTCATATCTTGACATCCTAACCTCCAAGATGATGGTATTAGGAGGTGGGGCCTTTGGGAGGTGATTAGGTCATGAGGGCAGAGCTTTTGTGAAGGGGATTAGTGCTTTTATAAAAGTGGAACAAGGAAGCTCCCTTACTCCTTTACACCATATGAGGAAGCAGGCCCTCATTAGATACCAAAACTGCCGGCACCTTGATGTAGATCCCAGCTTCCAGACATGTGAGAAGTAAATTTCTGTTGTTTATAAGTTTCTCAGTCAATGGTATTTTGTTATCTCAGCCCAAGCAAAGACACCATCCAAGAGGTCTTGCATTCTGCATATTGGTGGAAAAGGTATGCTTAGTTCAAAATAAAAGATAGCCTTAGGGATGTCTGTAGTGTAGTATGCTATTAGTTTCACAGAATAATAGAATACAGATTTATATTACAGGCAATATACAAATATTTGATCTATTATGAAATATTTTGTGATGATCTATTTGTTAGTTTATTTGGTCAAGAATTAGCTAAATCAGTTCCAGGGAAGCTCTTAAAATGACTGTTACTTGTTGAGTGTTCACTCTGTTACAGGCACGGGATTTATTCATTTACACACGTTACCTAGTTCAATCCTGTAATAATTAGAAGAGGTGGGTACACTTATTCCCATTTTAAAGATGAGTAAATATTGGCGAGGGTGAGATTTGAACCCAGGTACATGTAAGTTTGTTTCTTTGTTTGTTCATTCATTCTTTCAACATATTCTGAGTTCTACTCTCTGTCAGGCTCTGTGTGTGATTAAATACCCCAAAATGATCTTTCTTCACTTCTGTGCTATTCTGCTTACCTTCCCTGAGTTTATTATTTTTCTTGAATGAATTTCTTTAAAATATTTTTGTAAACCTTTGAAGATTTTACCTTCCTTTTGTACTGTTTGGCCACAATGTACTTTAAAGCCCCCCAATGAGTTGTATTTAAAGGGATATAAACATCTTAGTATAATTGATGATATAGAAATACTATAAGGAATATCTTCTCTCTTACAGCTGGTGATAAGCCCTTGCCCTGAAGCACATACTTTCATCACTCCTGGGGTGAGTGCAGATGTTCCCATTTGTGTAAAGTGTCTGATTATTTTCTGAAACTTACTATTCACACAAATGATGCTCTTTAGCAATGAGTTGAACAAATTAAAAATGTTCTAGCAGCTTTTCTATTTTTTTAAAAAAGACTAATGTTTACCAATGAAAAATTTAGGTGCTTTTCTGTTTGCTTTTGACTACAGTGCTTAATTGTTAACACAGCAGTGTCTTTAATTCTAAAGAATGAACACTCAGAGAAGAAAGCATTCTCTCATCTTCCCCATTCTCTCCTGGAGTCACCAATCTTTAGTTATAGGGGACAAAAATCAATGAAAAGAACTGATTCTAGGCTCTGGCACTTTAAGATTCTGACACAAAGATTAAAAACAATCTGTATTTACTTTGTGATTAATGATATTACTGAATGTGTTTTGCACAATTTGCATTATTTGGAAGGCGATGGTGGTGATGTTCTATTCCAAAAGGAATTCAGAGGAATCGTTTTTTTATGGCATCATTTAGCCCATTAATATTTAATTTTATACTTGGTATATTTCTGCTATCCTTTAATGATTTCCATATTTATTTATTGTTGATATTCCTTTACCTTTTCCATTATGCAATTATCATAGTAAATTAAGAGTGTTTTGCTTAATTACTACTACTGGACAATGACCTTATTCAAATTCTGTAGTATTTCCAACTATAGTAACTATTGGTATCTTTACAATAAATTTAACTTTTCTCAATTAGCTTAAGAGTGCCTTCTTTCCTTGCAATCAAAAGACCAAAATCAAATTATTCAGTCACATTTTAACCACTTACATATTTAGACCTCCACTGTGGCAGATGCCGTTGGTGCTCTGTTTGTTTTTCCTCAACATGAACCTCTTCGTGCTGAAGGCTGCTTAGTGCAAAAAGGTGTGAGTTTTTGAGGGATTTTTTCCAGCTGAGGGAGCATGCTCAGCCACGACATGAGGCAAGCTGGAAATTTATACCACTTATCCCGTTTATAAAAACCACAAGTCAGTCTTTTCTCCTCTCTTCTACTGAAAGAGGTGTCAGGCTAACAGGAGCTAAGTAAACAATCTTTGTGATAATTTCTGTTCTGATGAGATGTTGGAAAGCAGTTTTCTGCAAGGCTTGTGTAATTAACCATTCACAGTAAAGAGTCTTACTGCAATTCAAAGCAAGTTATCTTGCTTATATTCTTTTTGAAGAGGAAATCAACTATAAAAGAAGCCTAGAAAGTCAAACTGCTGTCTTTTTTTCTTTTGTTAGGGTTCTTCTCCAAAGATTTTAATGTTTATTCATTGTGGGTCAATTCTGGATTTGGGGAGGTGTTGAATTATCAGGCTAACGATCAATTTTTATTTATTTATTTTTTATTTTAAAAAAATATATCTTTATTGATTTCAGAGAGAGAAAGGGAGAGGGGGAGAGAGAGAAACATCAATGATGAGAGAGTCGTTGGTCGGCTGCCTCCTGTATGTCCCTGACTGGGGATCCAGCCTGCAACCCGGGTATGTGCCCTGGCCCAGGAATCGAACCGTGATCTCCTGGATCCTAGGTCGATGCTCAACTGCTGAGCCACCCCCGGCTGGGCTAATGATCCATTTTTAACAGCCATGCTCCAGAAACTCCCAGAGGCCTGATATGAGAATGGGACCCAGTTCTCTCCTTCTCTCAGCCTCCCGACTCAGGATTTCTTGAGTCTGTTGTACAGTGGGATCAGCTGTATTGCATAGGGAAGTAGATAAGAGATAAATAATTGCGAAGGGGAGGTATAGTGAGCTTTGGAGGAGAGGGCCTGGCAAGGGGAACATGGGGAAAGACTAGAACATACAGCTGCAGGGTGGGTAACATTACAGACTCAAGATTCATGAATGGAGACATCTTGTACCAGATTGGGATGGAGAAACAAAGAGGGGACAGCTCTGTGCTGCTGAGAATGAATGAATAGGGGTAGACTATGCACATTGGGGACAAGACTCAGAAGGAA